TGCGCTCGCACAAACACACAGAAAATCCTGACCTTGCCCGAGGCAGCGCTGCTCAAGCACTTTCCCAGAAGTCTGTTCAACAATCAGCAAACAAGCGGAAAGTATTCATCAGTTTCAGGATGTAGTGACCTTTCTGCTCACTAAGATACACTGCAGCATGCACGCATACACAAACTCAGTAGAGCTGCATGATATGCAGAAAAGAACTTAAAAAAAAATCATATAGACAGATGTTAGGATTTGAGTCACGATTTTAGTTTGAATGACAATTTTTTGCATTTCATTTTTACTGAAAAAGAGATGATGATGGAAATTTTGCTGATGTCTGTTCTAAAGAAAACATGTTCCCTTACATCTGGAATTTATTTTTTAGGCCAGCTGCACAATGCTTCAGTTATAATGGTATGTTGGGACACATTTTACCATCCATCCATCCTTTTTCATCCGCTTATCAGAGGCCGGGTCAGGGGGCAACAGGCTGACCAAGGTACTCCAGATGTCCCTCTCCTTAGGAATGCTTTCCAGCTCTTTCTGGGGGATCTTGAGATGTTCCCAGTCAAGATGAGATATATGTTATCCCTCCAGAGTGTTTTGGGTTTGCCCCGGGGCCTCCTACCAGTTGGACTTGCCCGAACACCTCTAATGGGAGGTGCCCAGGAGGCATCCTGATCAGATGCCCGAACCACTTTACTTGACCCCTTTCAGTGCAAAGGACCAGCAGTTCTACTCCAAGCTCCGTCTGGGTGTCAAGCTTCTATCTCTAAGGCTGAGCCCAGCCATCCTAGGAAACTCATTTGTGGTGCTTGCATTCACAAGCTCATTCTTTTGGTCACTTCCCAAACCTCATGACCATAGGTGACGGTTGGAATGTAGATAGACCGGTAAATCGAAAGCATTGCCTTCCAGCTCAGCTTCTTCTTCACCATGATGGTCCAGGGAAATGCCCTGCCAAACCGCCTGTATATTTCACACTCCATGTTACTCTCACTTGTGAAAAAGACACCAAGATACTTGAGCTCCTTTGCTTGGAGCAGTCCATCTCTCCCAACCCGGAGGAGGCTATCCACCATTTTCCAGCAGATAATCATGGCCTCATACTCAAAAGAAAAAAATATTGTCAGCCAATATGTTGCATTTGAACAGTAATGATAATCATTTGTAGTACCCAACAAAGTTGTTATCAGGGGTTCTTGTGGGTGTTTGAATCACTATGTTATTGTCAAAGTACTTCCTCAAAATGCTCTGCACTTTACCCCACTAGAAAAAGTCCCTTCACCTCCCTCCGAGTGTCGTCCTCGGTGAGACTACAGAGAGCCATGATGAGGTACGAGCGAAGAGATTTCCTGTAAGAGCTGTGGGGAGATCACACAAGGTGCCTGCTGACTCCCTTAACGAGGCATGTTTAGGCTCCATCCCTGTAGTTTAAAGAGGCAGAGCTGCTAATTTGAGGGCATTGTAGTCTCAACAGAGAGCCCTGTGCCTGGCCTGGATGGACTATAATCAGCTCTAAACAGAGGACTCCACAGAGAAACTAAAACTGAAGCCTGGGTGGCTGGAGAAAAAAAAAACTCATGCAAACAAACATGCAGCACCTATGTTTATTCAGGATGCACACACTGAAAAAAATGCATTTCTGTATTGTCATGGTTGCTATAAATAGTGGTAAAACACTGTCAATGTGGTGAGTCAGGCTAAGCGAGTGCTGTTGTGTGAAACCATTGTACCTACTGCAGAATGGAAACTGTGATAACAATAAGGAGCGCCATTGTTTTGTGAGGAGGCCTGGAATAAACTCAAGGACTGTAATAGAACAAGGCGCACCCCAAACCATCCTCAAACTCATAAACACACTTCAGATACCTGATGATAACATACTTTTTCTGTAATTTCCTGGAAGTAGGATCACAACTGCAAACATGTCTCTGCAGACATTCCTTTTATGATTTTTTTTTTCAGAAACCTGTGCGCGGATCGACGGTTTAGATTGAAAGAAGATAGGATGACATATCTCCCTCACAATGCACGTCTGTGCCTCAGAGGCTGTCAGACAGACACTGATGCTTCCTGTTTGCTTCCTGTTTATTTCTGCCATTTCCCTTTTGGCTGATATCGTATACTGTGTCGCTGTAGCTTCTTTATTCTGCTGCTACAACTTTCAGCTCAGTTGAAACTGAAATTTACTCCCTCAGTTCATCTTCATGCTGGGTAATTATATGTAGGCAGTGTATTTTGGCTGAGAGTTCATGAAATCTCTAATTAGGATGCAAAATTGTGGAATGAGGATAAAGTTAATTTTAAGCAGATACGTGCTTCTGAAATTCTGCTCAAGCAAAGTAGGTGGAATGGGACGAACTTGACTGGGAATGTTACAGATAGGCATCACTGTCAAACCTGAGACAAAGCAAACCTGAGCACAAACTTGAAGGACACCAAACCTCTTCACTTGAAAACACAACCATGAACTGCAGACATGACTGAATCCTGCTGAACTGAATTACACCCGCATCTTAAGTGTTTCAAATCTCATAGCTCCACTCCTCAGATGTTGTCACTCCTGTGACTTTGTTATTATGACCCAGATCTGCTGGTTTCTACTCGACCCCGACCTCAGATGAATCAGTCAGCCTTTTTTAGCCGCATGAGATAATGCTCTTATTTTGTGGCCAGGGAAATGTCTGAAGTGTTTTTGCCTTGAACTGACTCAGATCGTATCAGACAGTACACAGCATCAGTGTTCATTCCCTGCAGACTTGCTGGGATGATTTACCATCCTGAATGGAGGCAGGCGGGGAGGTTACGTGTAGCCGAATACCACATTCATTCACCTCGGGGCATGAGACTGACTTGTAACTCTAAATGAATGTTTTTGTGCTGAACTTTTCATCACCAAGCAAATGACACATTCAGCAAGAATTAGAGCGATAACATGACAGAGCAGTCCACTGTTATCAGATTAACGAGCCTCCGTTCCCTTTTATGTGAAATTTATGAATCTATTAGACTGATACACATTTAAAGAGCTGCTTCACCTAAATCCAAAAACCTACTTCTCACTTACCGCTAGTGGTGTCATGCAATCCAAACAAATGTTCCCAGATGTTGAGATATCAAAGAATTCTTCCCCCAGTCTAGAACAATGGAGGTGAAGGACAATTTTGAAAAATTACATTGAAATATTTCAATGGCAACTTTTGAAGAAAATCCTGTTATGATCCTAATCCACAAACATCACTCTCAACAGTTCGACAGGATTATTTCTTCAGTGGTACTCCTGAACTCAAGGATGAACTAAATAGAGTTTTATGGTCAAAGGTCAAAGGTCACTGTTACCTCACAAAACACATTTTTGACCATAATTCAAGAATTTGTACGCTAATTATGGCAAAATTGCAAACAAATGCCGAACAGGATAAAATGGTGAAGTGATAATGTTTACATCCAAAAGGTCAAAGGTCAACTTTGCTGTCACATACAATCCCAAGGTGGTAATAGTAGTTTAAATATATTTTTCAGGAGCCTGTCTCCAGAACTTTAAATCGCCCACATCTCTGATCTGCTCAGCATTTCAACTGTCCGTAGGTAAGGTGTTGTGCTTGCTAAGGGCTGTTTTCCCCATTGGAGAAGCCTTCGACCAAGCTTTGTAGGTGGGATCGGGAATAAGGACATAATCTTTGTGTTCCAGAGCCAGTAATATAGTTTAATTTATTAAAAATAAAGGCAACAGAAGTGGACACAAACATTGCAACAAGAGATACGTACGTCACCTGTTAGGTCAAAACAAAACAAAAATAATCCCCTCCTCCACAACAGAATCACACAATGTCAAGCTGAATACGTGAAAATGCTGTTTCAGTCAAGCTATCAGGGTAAGCATGATGAATGAAGTTCTGTTCGACTCCATTGTACTGGGGCGGAGGCCTGAAATCTCAAAGACGGATATCTCAAAACCAGTTAAAACCAACAGTATCTGCATGGTTAGATACCACAAGAGATAAGTTACAAATACTCTTTGCAATGTGGTTGAATTGACCCGTCAACCCTTTCTGACTCCACCAGTAAGATCCACCAAGACAGCAGAGTTGACCTCATTGTGTTTAAAGCAGATCCCGCATATTTTCCTGTGTGTATCATACTGCTGGATCATGACCTCAGAGGGCTTCTGAGAAACCTCGTTGCTCCCATGAGGCCGCGGCTGCGTCGAGGCCAGTGTGGCCACAGCAACTAAATCATAACATAGCAACAGTATCACAATCACTTTGATTGGGACCTATACACGCTTGCTCAACACTTGCTTGAACAGTGACTCACACACATGTACACAGGGTTGAGAGCTCTTAAAATGTCATCTGTTACAGGTTACAGTTTATTTGTAATCAGGTTTTGATTGCTGTTGAATAAAGAACAAAGATTTTTATTCTGTCTGCACTTTGAATGGTGAACTGAATGATGGAGCTCCAGTTGGTGTCGTGTGTGTGCTCACCACAGCAGCGAGGATCCAGCATGTTTCACTTTGTGTTACTGTGAAATGCGGCATGCTGTAACAGAGCTCTGCGCTGATCCATGTTGACAGCTGCTCAGTGGCAAAACACACAAGGCTTCTGTCATTTTGCAGATAAAATCAATCACACAAAGGCCCAGTGATCGTGAGTAAAATGACGACAGTTTAAACTCTCAGTTGTGTGTGTGTTTATTGAGTGTGTGATTCATCTCGGCTGTTCCAGCAGACATCTGGAAGTGTGGCTCATGATACACTCACAGCTGGCTGATAGTGAATGTGAAGGAGCGCCCTGTGGGACGATCTTGGGTCTATTTGATGACAATGGTACAAATAAGACATCCTGTGGGACAAACACAAGAGAGCTTCATGATTCATAGTGGATGGGAAATCAGTAGCCACTTATCCTTCTTACATTAAGCCTCTCTTTTCTCCTCCTTCGCCCTCATATACGTCAGTGTCTTCCAAATATTTATACAGATCCTGTGTGTCTCTGTGTCCGTAGGTGTGCTTTCAGAGGGTATCATGGCTGAGGGAAGCTGCTTCGGTGCATTGTAGCTGTTTGGGATGACCAAAGCCGGACCTTGCCTCGAAGAAGAAGAAGAGGGGAAAGAACCGTGAGGAGGAAAAACATCTGCTCAGTGAGGATAAGATCAGAACAGGGAATGTACCGGACTGTTCTCTTTGTAAGGAAAGGAATTTAACCTCCCCAGTATTAGTGCTCTGTCAATTTAAAGAGCTTCAAGAATTTTGTTTTTATCATTGGTTGTTACCACCTCAGAAAGATTTAACGCCATGTGCCATGTTATCGTAACATGCCGCTCCATGCTCTGGACGCTGCTCAGTATTGTAGTGGCCTTTGCTGAGCTCATTGCCTTCATGAGCCCTGATTGGCTGCTGGGATCTCCTCGTTCCAGCGAGAGCGGGGAGGGAGTGGACTCCGGGGAGTACCGGCCGTCTCTCGGCCTCTACAGCCGATGCCTTCGCGTCGGGTCACGGGGGATAGGGGTGAGCTGCGGGCCCTACGCTGGGACGTTTGGGGAAGTGGCCAGTGGCTTCTGGCAGGGTGCCATGTTGTTTCTGGCAGCAGGGATGTTAGTGCTAGGAGGAGTGGCTTGTATCTCAATCTTCAGCCTGTGCTTCCAGAGCATCCTGAAGAAGAGCATATTCAACATCTGTGGACTGCTACAGGCTATTGGAGGTGAGACATCTATCTGTGTGTGTGTTTAGTAGGGCTGCCTCAGACTTAGAATTTTCTTCGTCGACCAATAGTCGTCATTTAGGGCTATTAGTCGACTAATCACCTGCATGTTTAAGATATTAATTTAATTATTAAATTATATATTTTGGGCAGGGCAACAATGGTTTGAGTTGAAGGTGTGATGATCCCACACTTTGGATTTCCAGTCGTATAGGTTTTGATTTATTTTGACAAGGCACAGCTCCTAATAGAGTTTCACGTTTTTTGTTTTTTTTTTATGCGACTAAGCGACCAATGAAATCTTGCTGACTAATGACTTGAAATCAGAATTCACAGGTTTCAACTTTCTGATATCTCTTAAAGATCCCATATTGTCAGGTTGCCAAGTCTTTTTTAATATAAAGCAGGTATAGATGCTATAGAAGTACTGTTCAATCCACAGAGAAATGCCCACTGTACATATTCAGAAACTGTGACTTTAAACAGGCAGTCAGGACTTCTGTGAAGTTGTAAAGCCACTACTATACTGTGTCAAACTTGAATAATAAACACTCTAAACGAGTCCCTTTGTATTTCCTGTTGTAATGCAAGGACAATACAAAGGAAGGAATGGTCATGATGAAAGTGAAAGCAATCAAGGAGCCAGACTTTGGTGCCAGTTCTATTGAAGTCAATGGGGCGGACACTGTAAATCACACTATAACCCATCATATCTTTGTCGTTTTAACTTTGAAAAATCCTTCCACCAGATTCCACCACACACATTACCTGATGCTTACTGACATTTTTTAATCTAAATATCTAAATATGCTTTCCCAGTTATTGGTCTCTAAACAGACCATAGCTCTGTCCAAAAGAGGCTCAGATGCAGCTGATGGACAGAGTCGTGATCCGTTTGGAGACCAATAACAAGGACCATATTTAGATTTAAAAAAAAAAAATCAAACATCAAATGTCAGTAAGCATCACTAATGTGTGCTTTTCAATCTGGTGATAGGACTCTTAAGTCAAACTTGAAACAACAACACAACTGGCACCAAAGTCTGGCTCTTCCAACGCTGTCACTGTCGTCATGACCGTTCCTTCTTCAATATTTCCCTTGTTGTAGGTGTATGTGAATGACATCAGCTGACAGGAAATAAACATGGTCTCAAGCTGTTGCCTAGTAATGTAATTCCATTAAAACAGTCTATAAAGATAGTGTGTGCTGGTACAGTCATTCCATTTGGCAACATTAACAGAGCACGGATGCTGCCAAATGGAGAGGTGGAAGACCCGGATACACTGACCAATCAGAGCAGACAGAGCTTTTTCGAGTGTGTGAGTTTAAAGAGACAGGTGCTAAAACGGAGCGTTTCAGACAGAGGGTGAATGCAGGTATATTCAGACAGACAGAATGAGTAAAATACATCGCATTTTGAACATTAAAGCATGTAATCATGTCCTTGTGGAACCCAAAATACAAGTATGAGCCTGAAAACGAGCGTAATATGGGACCTTTAATGTCAGACACTGAAGCCTGGGCTGTGTCTATAAAGACTGGTGGACTGTGGAACACAAGAGACAATAATAGAAATAAGTCCTGGGCTTTATTGTTGTATTCCTTTCAAATTCTAATATGTTGTGTGTATATATGTGCAAAATATTGTACTTTATTGTAACCATATCATAATGTCACGAAACCATACTAAATTAAAAAAAAGTCCTTGCTAACATAACACAGACAACAAGGTGAAGATCTGCTATGATTTCTGCAAAATAGAGGTCAAAGGGCAAATTGTTTGCAACAAATATGTGGTGTTGATAATGAAATTTGTAAGTCTGTTGCATACAAAGTATACATGGTGATTTCACCCTAAAAACAAGCAAAAAGACATATAAACAAATGCTCTTTTTTATTGCCATGCTTCCTCTGGGCTCACACGTTCAAAGTTGCCAGTTAAAAAGGAAGGAAACTGGAAGTTCCCACACAATGTGCGTCCTCTGACCCACATGTTCCGGTGCCTGAGCTCAGAGAAGCAGGGAGGAATCACTGACAAACTCAAGAAGCCAAACGGCTACATCTCATTCTGCAGAAGCTAGTGCTAATAATCTGGGATCTGTGAGTTTATTGTGGTCACACGCCTACACAAGCCTATTGTATGTTTTATAATCATGCTGCAGCCTTTAGGGAATTTCTGAGTCGCTGTTGAGTTTACAAGTTGGCAACATCTAGTGGCGTTCCATCAAACTTTTCCTAGTTGGAGGTCGGATATTCCAACCAGACCTCTCCAAGTCTTTTTGCATGTTACTACAACAATGAGCTCCCACAGGTGTGTTTGGCCGGACAGGTCTGTCAGGCAGGTAATCTATCATTGTGTGACATCACTATGGAAGCAGTCAACAGGGTCTTTCTTCTCACCACAAATCAATTGCTTGTCAGTTGAAAACTACACGTCTTCTTCACCAGAGTTGAGTCATCATGTTTGCAGCTGCACCAGGATCTGTTTGTGCTTTCCCATGTTTACATGTACGTGACTAAACCCATTGTCTCGTCGTCTGCTCTTCCTCCAGGCCTGCTGCTGATGGTGGGCCTCATGCTGTACCCTGCCGGTTGGGGTTCGGAGAAGGTGATGGGCTACTGCGGCCCCGAGGCCTTGCCCTTTAGGCCGGCTGAGTGCTCGCTCGGCTGGGCGTTCTACACAGCGATAGGAGGCACGCTGGGATCCTTCCTGTGTGCTATTTTGTCCGCACAGGCTGAGATTGCCACCTCCAGCGACAAGGTTCAGGAGGAGATTGAGGAGGGGAAGAGTCTGATCTGCTTGCTGTGAGCCTTCAGAAACAACGGGAAACTCCAGGAAATCATCGGTGGTGTAATTTCTCTTAGGTGGACGCTTGTAGATCTCAGTGGAGGAAGGATGGTGATTAATCTGAAAGAGTTTGTTAAGAACATACAAGCCTTGGTAAATGCTTTTTAAATTCTTAGGTATGGGGTTCGCCTACCTGATGATACCAAGACAAAGGCAAAAAAATTTCCCTTGTACAGCTTTGAGGCTCTGGTACTGCAGCAGGCTGAGGAACATTACCTGTAGACTTCTTCAATGTTTTTAACCAAGTTACTGTTTATTTTTGTAATATTTCTCGCCTTAAAAAAATACACTGTACTGGAATAGCAGGAGATTAGTTGGAGAAATTGGTAGTGGACAGGTTAAACACTGCCAGTCGCACAGTTTATAGGCTGTCATTATAATGTTCATTCACACGGTTCACCTGCAAACCTCAACAAACCACTGAATACTAGCAGATGTGTCCACTAAAACTCCCAACAACAGCTTGCATATGTGTGCGGAGTGCGTCTGCGTGTGTGACAGACATTAACTGCTGAGGTTTCTTAGCGTCCATATGCTCTGATTGTGCGGCACAGCAGGACAGTAAGACTCTCTGGCTGACTTCACATGTGCCACTTAAAGGATTGTTCACTTTAAAGGGAGTTTCCCTTCTCATACAGATTGTTTGTGGGTCCCTTGCAGCTTATTAACCGGCAGAGTGTGTGAACAGAGCAGAGCAGGAACAGAGCCTCGCCATATGTTTCACTGTGGCGAACTTTCGTGAGGGGATGTTTGCTCACAGCTAGATAAAACAGGCTGCACCAGAGCTTATCATGGCACACCACACAGACTAGATCTGGCTTTGTAAAAATGTCCGAGACGCAAATAAGTGGGAACATTTTCTAAAAGTGTTTGTTGAGCCTCTGCTAGATGAATGCAAAATGGGTCATCAGCGTTGCCATGATTAAGGCAGACCTCTTTGGTACTTTTGGAGATCGCCTGATATCGTGTTTTGCACTTGGCCCTTTCACATCGCTTCATATTTTGTACACTTGTTTCCATTTTCCCCGCCACGCTTCAGTAAGTTGCTGTAAATGTAACATCATGTGATTGCTTTTATTCATTGTAGATGACATGTGCAATAATTCAACTATAGTGTGAGAGCGAGTGGATCGAGAGGATGTTTCTAGTCTGTCTGTGCTTAAATTAATATGTTGAACTGTCGGCTGTTTTTGTTACATTAACAAAAGAGCAACAGCATTGTGGCACATTGTTTGATGCTGCATGTGTGTGAGAGGGTGATATGTGTGAGGAGTGATACAGTCTGTACTTTGTACTCTAATAAACCAGGCCTTCTTTAGTAATTCTGAGTTTTACTAAGCTTTGTTTTGCTTTGATGTGCAGAAGTTCTTTCTTCCATGTTTTCTTTCCTGAGACTTCCTGAGAAGAAACACTGACACCTAGAGATGGAAAGTAGACAACGCAGAACAGGAACTTAAACCAGTGCTTCCTAACCAGGATTGGGCTGGGTATCATTTAAGCCCTCTAAGCAGACTCAGGGCAGTGATTCAAGCTTCTTTGGGTGTATATGAACTCAGACCCCTCAGAGGGAGGTCACAAGACTCTTCAAGTCCACGGTGCAGTTCACTTAACCTGTCTTTTGAACACAAAGCTCCAGGTTCTCTTTGCTCTTTGGCATTGTATTTAACCCTCTAGATCACATGCTATTGCACTAAGACGCTTGAAACCACAGACAAAACCATGTCAGCCTGTAACACTTGCAAAGACGCAGGATGAGGAGTGGTCTGGTCCACAGAAGATACAGCACTTCTCCAGATGTGGAATGTAGAATACATCAAATGGAAACAGTCTACAGCACAGAAACGCTGAGTTCACCTGAAAGCAAGTGGCTTCATAACTGCACTGCAAGTCACTTCAAAGTAAAAACAAAACTATGTCAATATATATTATATATAGGCTATATTGTGAACAGGAAGAGGACTGAGGCCCCATCAGAGCTGAAGTTGACCAGAAAGAGAACTGAGTAGTTTTTCAAATGGACTGACAATGTGAACAAAAAAAAAAAAAAAAAACTGAGTCCCTTTTCTGATGGTCCACTTTTTGGTGCTCTTCAGAGGACTGCGTTCAATTTATTTAAAAAGGACTATATGTGAAAACACCCTAAGAATTACGAAACCAGTACACTTAAAGTGATACTGGTATCAGTGGAGTACCATCACCTGAATGTAAGCATTCAGTTGGGTAAAATGCCACCAGATGCCACAGGTGTGTAGTACCGCCACACTTTTGAATGTTTTGGTGGCATCTCAGCACACTAAACTTCAAAGTACACTGTGCTCGACTTCACCACACCACAGACTGCGCTGGTTGTAGCTGCAGCAATCACACCTAGCATTAAATCAAGGAGCGTCTGTGGAGATTGGCTGTGAGCAGAACCATACAAATTGTTTTTTTTCAATCTCCTGGTACAAAAAGGATCAAATGGAGGAATTGATTGACTGAAGAAGTTTCAATACTACGTGGTACTGGTTATTTCGGTTGATACCTTAAAGCAGGGATACCCAACTTGCTTTGCCACGGAGGCCACTTTGGCAAAAATGACAGTCAGCCAGGCGCCAGATACTGAACAAACATTAATAATATATTAATGTTTAGCCTGCAAATCTGTCATGGTGTCACAGGGATTCTCCCCTGACACTCTTTTTGATAAACAAGCTCTGTTTTGATGCTTATTAATGCACTTTGGCACCTTAAAAAATCCCACTGTGAATCAAATTGTGTTTTTCTTGTGAATTAGAAAATGGTCCCTTCAACAGGTTTGACAAGATTGGCAAAGAAAAAATGTCAGTAATAATGAAAGTAAGGTCAGGTATCAGATATCAGTGGGCCAAATCTGGATGCTAATACTGCCAAGTTTTTATTTTGTCAGTGCTCTTAAACCTGCATCAGCATCAAGTTTTTGGTTGAACTACTTGCAACTCCTGTGCGTCCACAAACTACGACAAGGGGTCTTGTTATAAGTAGACATTGCTTGATTTTAAAGGTTTACAAGGCTGGCTTATAACACTGTCACAATCCTTAGCAAATATTTGGCAAGGGCATTTGGTTAAAGGAATTTTTTGACAATAATTTACACAGATAAGAAGCCGATAAGTTACGTAACTTTATAAAAACAAGTCAACCAATATTTCTTTCAAATTTTATTTCATGTTAATACCATAAATATACAAAACTCAAACTATTTCACATGCAACAAAGGCCAGACAAGAGTGCATTATGTTATCTTTTTTTTTTTTTTTTTTTTTTTTTTTTTTACATGTGATTGATGATGGGGATCAAATTTTCAACTTTACAAAATGTACAAGTGTCCCTTTTGAATGAGTTTCTTCTCTGATTCAGCGAAATAACATGGTCACAGGTCAAAAACACAGTTTTGTGTCAGCAGACTTCAAATACATCGTTCCGTACTGCGGATCGGCTCGCCAAAACACATCAAGAAATTACCCACTGTGGCATGGCTTCATGTAACGACTGTTTAAACCTATAGATACATGGGAATCATGTGGGTGTTTGTAGCAAAGAAAAGTCGTGTAATATTTAAAGTAAAACATGGCAAGGGAGCACGTCACGAACCAAGATTTAAAAACAAATCTATATGGACATTTGGTAGATTTCTCACAGCTTTTCAGGACATAGAATAACACTTGAGGGAGATTTTTTTGTCCTTTTTTTGTTGCCTTTCATACCAGTCCTTCACACATCCTCATCCACACAAACACACCTCTTGCAGGGTCAAGTTGCAAAGTCATTGAACACTTTTTAAATCTAGCTGATAGCTATGATCATGTCATTACAAAACCACACAAACATAATACATAATGTAAAATCAAACCAAACAAAATTGAAATGCAAACGACTTAAATTACGCCATAAATAAAAACAGGTTTGACTTTTTCCTTTAAATTCAACGTAAAACAAGAAATGTGCAATGAATTTAAAAACATAATATTTCCAAACAAAAAAATACTGCCGAGATGTAGACTGATTATTTCACAACAAACTACTGACCTTCAACTTGGTAACACTTGCAGGAGTATTTCATCCACGATAATGCTCAGTCCGTACATTTGTGATAAAAGCAGTACCAGTCATCAGTCATCGATTATGCACGCCGTCACACACTCACCACCACTATGAGAGGTGCTAAAGCACGACACAAATGTAACCCACCTCCATATTTCACTTCAGCGACAGTAGTCTGTACAACTTAGTTCTGAATAACACTGTTATTATTGTATATAAATTAATGTATCTTAGTGATATCACTGAATGTGCATTAAGTCCTATCCTCTGTTATCTTAATGTTCATTTGGCTATGAAACTTCAGATGCCAGTAACATTAACAGAAGAAAAAAAAAAGTCTGTAAAAATGCAAACGGGCTGTTAGTCTATGTTGTGTACATATACACAGTGTCAGTGTTTTTACTATTTCATGTATGCAGGTTAATCTCTAGAAAAATCAAATTTTTCACCACTGTCCAGGTCATCGTCTGTGAGAAAAGGCCGCTCACTTCTCTCAGTTCTTCCTATGAATGAATGATTGAATGAATGAATGAATGAATGAATGAATGAATGAATAGTGTGTGTCCTTTTCAATAGGAAACATGACAGCAGGAGTCCACCACCAAGTGGCGCTCCAATTCATAGCAGCGTTAGTTTTTAACCAAGTGAAGGGCTACAAAAAACAACTGAGATGGAGCCACATAGTAGTCTGTTAATGTCACATATACATGAGGGGAAATTAGGAAGTTTCTTATGTTGTACCTTGTCTTTAGTGAACCTGGGCCCAGTTGTTCAGAAAGAATCTGATCAGATTTGGGGAATCGGATTGGATCAAATCTGCAAAACGGGTCATTCAAAAAAGATTCTGAAATCAGATTATATCACATAATCCAGTCTTTTTCTTTTTCAGTTTTGATCTGGATCAAACCTAACCTTCAGTACGTGTTGTTCAAAATCAGGATCATCCTGGTCCCAGAAGATGGGTGGATTTCAGCAACAAAATGTAATTAAACTTTTAAAATGGTCAAATATTTATGACTGTATTTATATTTTGCACTTTATTAGGCTATCAACTAAATACTTACTTTCTTACTGATACTGACAGCTATTTGGGGGATTTTTTTATGGGGATAACACCCCTAGGCTTCAAGTTACAATCTCACATATCTGTTTATTCTCTTTGGCGACACTTATGGGGATAAGTGGTAATTGCAGGCTGCCTACACTGTGATATGTAGCCTCTTTTAGTGTTTCTTAGTGATCTTGAAAAGTCTGTATCTGGATCAGGGTGATCCAATCCAATGTTGCTTTGAAAAAATGGCACAAAGTATTTCCAATTTCCAAATCTGCATCATTCTGACCCAGATTAAATTCTTCAACAACTGGGCCGAGGCTATGAAAGCACATAACTTAACTCTTCAAGGTCTGTTGTGAGAACTGGTGACCCTACTGACCTGGGTGTTTAGTGCATTTTCACAATTAGATCCAAACATCGTCAATCAGTTCACAGCCGCTGGGACATGCAATAACTTTACAGCTCACGTCTCACAGAAACCCAACCGAGGGAAAATAAGTAGGCGAACATCCTCCCCTCAAAACCAGCCACCAGCTGTAGCCAGAGAAAAGCAGACAGTATGACTCTGCCAAAGAAACCGCTACCGTTACTGTGCTGAACATGCATGTCGTTATCATGCTGTCAAATCTTAGGAAGCCACGGAGATGCTGATCCAGCCCACATTGCCAATCAAAGTAGCACACAAACTGGGAATAACTGTTCAACTGACAGGTTTCACTGGAGCACTGCTGGGTGCTGTAGGCGGGTCCTTAAATAAGAACATACCGACATATTTCTACTTGGATGATATTTGTCTCAGAATAGAAGCACAGATGTAGGACAAGGTACAATTTACCTTTCGGATGTCAATGACTGAATTCTTAAAAAAAAAGTGAGAGCCAAAGTTCTCTTAAAGTAAAGTACACATTCACACGTAGGCCCAGGCAGTCAAACATACACTGTACTTTCCGTATGTGACCGAGACAACAGAGCTATGTGCAAAAACACCATGATCAGATTATCACTTTTCATAACTGTGTACTGTATTAACCAGGCAGGAAGCTGTTTGGAGGTCATCACCATGACAAAAATAAGGTATGCTAGAACTGCGAACCTCTGCCTGACCTAGGATAACCTCGAGGTGACAGAAGAACAGGGAAAGCGGAAGGAGCGAGTGAGAAAGCGTGAGATGAAATCCCACACACTCAGAGCACACCTCGAGTCACTTAGTGGATGTTTCAAGGGATGTGAGCAGTCATCTGACTGAGAAGCAGACAGAAAGAATGTAGGAGAGTTTTTTTGTTTCTGAAATTTGATTTCAAGTGAAGGTGAACAACTCTGGTCACTTTATCTGACTAACTTCTATGTTATCTCTGGTCTCCGACTCTTTGCACTTTTTAAGCAGGTGCAAGTGTGTGTGCAAGCGAGTGTGCAGGGCAATCTTAGCATAACAACATTCATAAATAGAATCAATTTGATCTGAGAGCCTGTGGAGCCAGAGTGGTGCATCTTCAATTCTTGTGTGTGAATGTGTGTATGCTTGTATGTGTGCGCGTGTGTGCATGTACGTGTGGGTATGTTCAGTTTATGGCTGAGGTTTGAAGGCCCCACGAGCAGCATTGGTTGCAGCATTTGCTGCGGCGTTGGCGGCTGCAGTCTGAACGGTCTTGTTTGACATGACCCCAGTTGCAAACTCCTGCTGAGCCTTCTCGAAACTAGCACCAGTGGTACGATACAGTGCATGCACCTGGGGAGAGCAGAGAAGAAAATTAGATGGATTCAAGTCAAGTGATTTAAAGACCTGATTAAATGAAAAATACATTTTGTCAAAAATATGTTTACATCAACGCCCTAAACTCCCACTTTTTAGAGGTCCAATCAAATGTGAAGTATGTCATTTAAATCCTTAATGTGACTGTACACTGCTGAAATATTCAGTTTCACTGGAAAATACATCACAGCACAGAAGCTAAAGACGCTCTCACTTTCGTTTCACTGGGACTAAATCAATTACAAGGCCTTTCGCAGCACTGAATGATTCATATGGCTCACTTCCTGGCTAATCATAACTCTGACATTTGGCTCAACGTAAGCACTGAATAGTTATGACGCACAGTATCCTGTTTATTCCTGCCATCTTGATAGTGCGGCTTGGACCCACATTTCCTGTCACTATCAGTATATTAGTCAGTGTACGTCTGTCCACTCTAAACAATCTAAACATTTACTGATAGTGTTTAAATTGTTTGCGTCATTGATAGGTTTTTAAAGAGGTGCTAGCTATTGCATCTCAGGTAGAGACTATTAAACACAGCAACTGGCACGTAGGAGCACTTTGTGGTTGTCGTACCTTTTTAAACATGATGAGCGAGCCCACAGACAGTGCAGTGAACAGGGCTGCAATCAGCAACATGATGATGCCCACTGGGATGCTGGTGTTCAGACCAGTTAAAGCTGCGATCCAACCGCTGGCAAAACAAAACAATGACAATGTGAGGTAACTTCAGTGCACACTATGAGGGGTACAGCGTCAGTAAAAGCACAAAATTATATATTTACCATGTTCCCCAGCCAGTGATGCCAATAGTTTGTAGAACGTGAACTCCAAACTGACAGATATAGACGAAGAAGAAGACAAAGAAGCGGAATGAACTGTCACTCCTGTGGTGGAGACAGAGAGCAAGGTAGAGAGAGAGCTATTTAGGGGCAATAAAATAAAACATTTTGTCCATTTCTATCACTAATTCATCTGTCATTAAACATGATTTCCTCGTGAAAGTCTGTCTTGGCACCCTACCCATGCAGAAAAAAAGGGAATTTGTAATACTAGAGTTAGAAAACGGCCAGAGGATAAGAATGAGCTCCTATAACCTCAAGAAATAACAGCAGTTTCAAAGTCGACTGCCCACCTGTTTTACTGGTTTCATACTTAGAGCAAATACGGCCTTTTGCCTTATCACACAATGGTTGTCCACAGAGAGACGTGTCTCTGCTTCGTTCAGCTGCTGCTGAAGGCGGTGTAATCTTCCATGTATCTACTTACCTGAAAGCCCCATAAAGCGGTCTGTACCAGCAGACGAATGAACAGGGAGTGAACAGCAAGAACCATAGCATGGCCAGGCCAAAATCTACACCGCGAGATGCGTCCACACAGAACCAGGCCAGGCAGCCGAACATGTTCACAAAGAGCGTGCCTGCGTGAACTGATAAAAAAACAGAAATAAAGACATTTTGTGCCATTTCAGTACAGGCACATGACAAATTATAATGTCTGTTCAGCAAACTAAATAAAAATCTCTTTGTTTTCTAATGTCTTTGTGATGAACGAGTTGACAAGCATGCTTGATTACAAACTGGCTCAAATTTTTACATATTTTTTTATGATTCTGTGGTGAAATATGCTGCAGAGCAGGTTGCTTCTTTTGCAATGCAATGTGTGGGTTCGTCTTGAAAACCCAGGTGTTCTGAGGATCGTGGACCTCTGATGGAGGTGTGAGACAGAATTAAAATAAATGACAATGAAGGTAACTGCCCTTTTTGGAGGCTGTCAGATGATCCACTTACACATCCAAAGGTTGTACATGATCTTGACGGTCTTTTGGAACTCTACAGGAATGTCCACTGCGATGTCATGGTAGAAACATGGGCCAACGGGGAACTTCTCTGGCAGGGGAGGCCAGTTGTTCTTACGCCCTGTGTGGACAAAGACAACAATGTATAGATGCTGTGATCACTACACCTGAAATCAGTAAATGTAAGGTATGAGTGTGAGTGAATATTTTGATGACTCTGATTGGGAACATTCAGCAGAAAACCTACTCTATGTTTGTTTTAAAACTGGTGCTAGCATACTCTTTCTAATCAGAGTTATTCACAGTTTCTAGTTGCCTTCTGATAATGTAAGCCACCGTGCATGAAGCTCAAAGATGCTTCTCCTAAATTTTCATTTCACACAGAACGACCTTTTCTCTGCTGGAGGCTCACAATTGTACAATAAAAAGTAAACTGCTGTGTGTCCAAGAGGCTGGTAACCCTAACATTTATGACAGAGGTATTTCACAGAAAATTTTAATTATTTTAAATGGAATTCCTCAGCCCCTCCCTCAAGTCTAATCCTTTTGTGCCTCAATTCATTTGCTGATCATAGGAATGATCAGACAGATTTTTATGGCCCTCTGCACCACAAGACCAGGAAGCGGGGAAAACAGGGATTCATATGTCTTGATTGCGGAAACTATCTCTCGTATATCACGATCTTCTATCATTCTCGCTAATGAACAATCTCTCCAAAATAAAACAGATGATCTGCAACCCCATGTTCAATTCCATCATGGATTCAGAGATGCCTATTTAGAGGCAATCAAGGACACTTGGATGCCGAACTGTCCATTGATGGTTTGGTGCACCTGGTGCATCTAGAACTAGATATTAGTGGTACTGGCAAATCACAAGGCGAAGGGGTTTTTCTCTACAGGAATGAGCACTGGTGCAAAAGAGACGTGCCGTACACAACAGATGATGAACTCTTATCTGTGTCTTTGTGCTCCCCCTATTTACCCTGGGAACTCCCCAAAATATTCATCACTGTAGTGTATATCCACCCATGTACTCAGGACACCTCCTCCCCCTTACTGGACTGGATGTTCTTTTATGTACTGTAATGTTGCTTGCTATAAAACAGATTGCCATCTGGGGACAAAATAAAGTTGAATGCTGAAACTGATCATTCTAATTTGCAGCAGAGAAAAAGCCCGAACAATGCTTTCCCATAAAGTTTAAGTTTGGTTCACACAACCATTATGTATTCATTATTTCTACTCTAAAATAATACTGGTTGAAATGTAATTAAAATTCCAAAATCCATGGTGTTATAAATCACTGCATATTATTAAATAAAATATAATTAGACAGACAAAATGCTTCATTATTATTGTATATAATATATGAATCAGAGAGTTATGATGTTACAACTGGTTGCATAGTTCCAGTTGTGACAACTATCACAACTGGAACTATGCAATTATGTTCTTGCCATTGTAAACCAACTTCAACCAACTCAACTTTCTGAGTCTTAAAACTGTCATGAATCTAACTTTGATTCAGAATGACCATTTAGATCCTGAGGTTTATGCGGTAAGCAAGTGAATGAGGTGACCGACTGACCTCCCGCAGCTCCGTGGGACTGTAACTCTCTCTCCCGACGATCAAGCTCTGCTGCTTTCTTCTCCAACTCCTCCTGCCTTCTCAACAACTCAGCCTGAGCACGTGCTTGGTCCTAACACAGACACAGAAACTCTCTTAAAGTTCACTGACAGGAGTAATGATATCCAGTAAGGTAAGTAATAAAGGTGTTTTTCCACTCAGGTAAGCTTAGAGGTGTGCTAGTTTAGGAAGGGGAAAAAAGGTTATAATCCTAAAAGCAATCAGCTGTTAGCTCACTCGTCTTCTTCAGTTAGTAGTGAACTAGCTCTAACACTGAACAGCAAGAGGAAAGCTACATGTAGGGACAGGGCAACAACTGAATTCACACTACTCAAGACTGTGACATGACAGGTTAGGGAAAGCATCACATGTAAGACAGTACCTCATTACGCCGCTGTTGGGCCATCAGATGAATATATGAAGAACAAGAGGAAATGTGAACCAAAAACAAAGACAGAGAGTTTTTGTACATGTGCTATAAAACTGCAGGTGAGTCAGTATATATAAAGATGTTATTGTGAGCAGTACCTGAGCCTGTAGCTGTGAGTAAGCCGGCGGCTCTTCTGTGGGCTTCATGATGGCAGGCTGTGTGTTCTGCTGGACAGGGGCAGGAGTAGCTTTGGGGGCATTCCCAGGGGCCGCCTGTAAACCAGCATAGACCTGCTATATTAATATTTGTGCAATCAAAAAGATAGACCCTGAATCAAAATTGTAATTAGGCCACAGTCATATTTTGTCAGTGAAATCCTTTGTGACTGAGAGGTGGAGAAAGAGAGAAGGAGGGTAGTGGATTAAATGAGGTCAATGACTCAGAGGCACACAAACACATGCATGCACACACTCATCGATGGCGACACTAGTTAAGCTGACCGTTCTGGCGTCTGTGAAGGGGTTATACTCCTCCAGACCACCAGGAGGGGCAGACCGGGTCACCTGCGTCACTGAAGGATCCTACAGGACAGAAAGGAGGACAGAGAGATTTAGAGGGGTAAAAACTACAGCCACAAAATGAAAAGCGTATTTATTGTTGTTGTAACTTAACCTATTATTTGTATGAAAAAACACAGCTGACCACACATTCGCTGGGTCTGTTAATTTCAAGTACGGTGGACATAGAGAGTAGGATGTGCATGCAACACCATGTGCCATTAAGAGCCAACAGTTTGCAGGTATTTATTCCAACCAAGACTCCACCCACTGATTAACACACCTGCAAGTAGGGGAGGGACTTAACATTTAAATCACGCACTAGGTGTCCTGTTAGGGTGCAATCAACAGACTGTTGGCAGGAAAGGTAAGATAGCTTGCAAAGGAGAATACACTCCTCTGTGCATAACTGTAGCACAAAGAAACAGCTTGATGCCTGCATCTAGCCTAAATCTTAATGTTTTTCTAGCTAAATCGGTGTCCTAAGATGAACAGGAAGTCAATGTTTCAAGACAATATTAAGGTCCAATACTGTGTGCGACGTTTATGCATGCAGTGTTAAATGATGCAAAGTTAAGTTTATTTTGGAGCACTGCTGTGACTGTGTACAACTCCACCAACACGTTTAAATCCCCTAAGCCTGCGTCCAAGCGACATTTAGAGATGACTGTGGGCACACAATGCACCCAACTGATGCTAACAAGCCGGTTAGCTAACTTATTTACCAAGCTAGCAGGTGCCATCAAATGTTTACTGACGCTGGGCAGTGCTAGCCGGCTAACATCATGTGTCTTTGTTCTTAGTTGGCTTAAACGTCAACACAACGTTAAAAACACCAACGTCCTCAGCAGTAGCAAGATAGCTAATCCTTCACAGCTTATTTTACAAAGTGAGCAGCCATATAATGCGTCAGTGGTAAGATAAATAATGTGAGCGATGGTTAGCTCGTTATGCTACCTAGCCACATACCAAGGAAACGCTCAAGCTAGCTGTCAAGTTACTAGCTGAGACAGTTAGCAGGGATGCTAAAGTAACACTGGCCTCATTGGGCTTTGAAGCGTACATTAGCTAGCTAGCTAGCTAGCTAGCTAGCTAGCTAGCTAATGTTGGCTGGTTAGCTAAGTAAGCTACCTGAAATGGATTGCTGAAGTCCGGGTCTGCGAACGGGTTGCTGTCAAAGTCGGACATTGTACAGCCTTTCTAAAAACGGTTTCCTGTGTGGAAGAGCTCCCCGACTCTCAAGGGAAGGTTCAGTCTCCTGATTTGACTGCCTCTCTCTCTGCTTGCCTGCAGTCCTCTCCGCCTCCTGCTGATGGAGACCCCTTGCTTAGCAAGCTAGCCAGTAGCACAAAAATGGCAGGAGGAGCGGATGCGTGATGTGCGGCGCCTACTACGTCACGGTTTCAGCACCACGGATAGCATGACGCCTGGACAGGTACAGTAACATCTGAACACACCGGTGTGGTGCACTGGGGCGAGGAGGATCTGCCCTTTGTTTCTCTGGTTGTCTCACACAGAAAGTCAAAATTGTATAGTTGAGACACGAACACTGTTGATTTCATTTAAATGACAGGGATAAGCCACTTTCATCTGAGATGTGGTCAGGTTAATATGTCAGGGGGCCCTTGGACATAGGGGCAAAAATGTATGTTGGGGCCCCTGTTGACCTCTACCCCCATTTTCACTTTCTGTGAATTGTGCATGCACCTACATTGGCTCCAAGTTTCCATCAAGTGGGCTACAGTGCATGGCAGTTTCATTATTTATCCAGAGACACAAAATCAGCCTGTAGGCTACTCCTATGCTGAAATACTCCCTGGCCCCACGTTTTCTGTGTGTCTGTTTGTAACAACCACTACAGGTCTCTAGCATAAGAAATGATAGGAAATGATGGAGTTGCATCACTAGATCAGTTTCGCATGCACTTACTGATCAGAGATCATGTTGCCACACTTACACTAAGATCTGGAACAAGATCCCGTGCTATGTTAGAGCAATAACCTTTATTATACACATTTCAAACACACATATAAACACTACCTGATGGAAGGACAGACCTGCAACCACTGAGTTAAATCCTATATCCCATTTTACTCACTCCACTTCAGTCTACTCTGCATTGTCTCAGTAGCTGCCTATGTTTTCTTGTTTGGCCTCTGTTGATTGTTTCTGCTTCTCTACTGTATTGTAATGTGTTTATGTTGCATAACAGGAACCTGCTGAAAACTAATTTTTAACTGAGTCATGCAAGTTTTAACCGTAACACACAATAATACTTTTAACTCCTCTCCTGTATGAATGAATGAAATGATATGAAGGGAGAAACCCTCCTCAGGATTGTTCCTCCAGCTTTCACTAACTTTGCAGGGTTTAGGTTCCACTGTCACACCAGTGCACACTGCAATCAATACATCTTGCATTCGAAGTGCCCACATACTTCCAAAGTTACCACACGTGATTATTTTCACTGTGAACAGTCAACCATGGCACACCTTAATCTTGCCCTGACCGTCTGACTGGTCTGCAGAGACACAAATTAATAACCTGAAGAATACATCACAAAATATGAAAATGCATTCAGATTAAAAGTTAAATAACTACATGGCTAAATTTTAAAATACGTGGTCCACTGATCTACTTTCCTATCGACTAGACAGCCGCCTTCAACTCAGCAGGGAAGCATACCTGAAATACATGAAAACTAGAAATGTGAAAAACATTCAAACTCAACAGCATAAAACACTTAACACAAAAAACACTTGTAGGCCTACACTGCCCCAGTCTTCCCGACACACCAGCATGGGATGAGATGTGCACCTGTCTCATCCCACTCTCCTGAACCAACATCACAGCCTCCGTTCCTCCTGCAGGTCACCCCTTATCCAAGGTGTCACTACCTGGTGCACCCCCTTTTTTCCTCCATGCCACCTGCCACATGTTATTTTGCAGCAATGTAATTAAACAAATCTTTAGTTAAAGATATGTCCCATGAGCACAACACACGGCCCCTCTATAGGACAGGACAACACAATTATTTAATAACACAGAATCTGCTTTAGTTGATATTGTACTTTTAGTGGTGCAAATTCTCTAACAAATATGCAGTCATGAAAATTGCCAGACATCAGCTGACACTCACCCTGAGGGACTTTTGGAGACCCTTGATCTATGGCACCTACTGGCAGTTGCCTACTTAACCCAGTTGCTTCCAGCCTTGAGTACAATTTTTAAGTAACTTACTTTAGTATTCCCATTTTTTTTGCTATTGTGTACTCCCCTACAGTTCAGAGGGAACATTATAGTTTGTACTTTAGATATGACACACTGTATATGATGAGCTTACAAAGAAAAAGAACTGAAACTTCTCCTGTTTTGTGAAGCGTGTCGGAGAACTACGGTAGCCAACATGCAAACATGAATGGCCCTATCTACAGCCAATGTTTTGTTTGTCCATTTTGGGCTACTGTAGCACAACATGGTGGACTCCGTAGAAGAGGACTCACCAGTTACGTAGATATATGTCATTCTAAGGTAGCGAAAACAAAAGATTTTTAATTTTCAGATTACTATAAACTAATGAAAACATGGTCATGAATATTAAATACCATTTTTGCCAACAGATGCCCCTAAATCCAACACACTGACCTTTAAATAAAAATGTCTGTCATGCAGGGGTGCAAATATACAGTAGACAGTGCAGGCAGTGCAATTGCACCAGGGCCCCTGGAGGGAGGGGCCCATGGAGAGAGCGGGCCCTTGCAAGTGATTCAGATTGGCACCTTGTGTTCAAAGATATATCTGTTCAAAGATAAATGATAACAAAAAAAATTATATATTTAAAAATGGTGCCACATATGTCCTTAAAAAGACAAACCTTTCTGTCATGGTTCTTTTTTCTTTTTTTTTTTTTTTTAAATATGCTTTTCCCATATAAATATAGGATCTATAAATATCCCATAAAACTATGCAATGATGATTGCTGGGTAATATACCTGTACATGTTGTTGTTGGCCAATCTCAAGTCTATTTGTGTCAAGACAATACATGCACGATAGGGCCGGACAAAACAGTTTGCGCTGGGGCCTGTCATAATTTCTTAATGCCACTGCTATCATTAATAATAGTCCAAAAATACAATACACTCTGATGGGGGCAGTTGATATTTTAACTACATTTTACTCATCATTCTTCTCTGGCTCTATTCAAGTAGAGTTTTAAATGACTTTTGTGGACTTTTTTAAAGTGGATTAAATTGTTTATACTTTTTTTTCCCCCCCTATCCCAAAGATGTCAACCCAAATTTGAATTATAGACGATTTCTTTTACCTTTTCCATATTTGTTTCTCAGATACACCCTAAAAAATTAAAGCATTAAGATCATTTTTTGGGAAAGACTGAAGGGAGTGTTTCTCAGATTTAGTCTTTACCACCCCCAAAACACAACTGGAACTAAAACCTCAACCAAAATTATTTGATTATTATTTTCTGGTCTGATTTCTATAACAGCACATATATTGTGCACACTACACAGTATTCGAGCTCCTGTAGGTCAAATAGCACAGCAATCTCCTCCACTTGATGATCATGATGATTATGTTAATGATGATAATGATGATGACGATGATGATGTATGAAAGTGTCTGCTGTTCAGTTGGTGTTTTGGCTGTGAGAGCCGGAGAGGCGAACCCAGACTACTTATTTCATGATATGTAACACTGACCTCTTTCTCAGCAGCAATCCCAGACAATTTACTGGAAATCATTTTATTTCACTCTTCCTTATAAGAAGTATCAGACCCCCAGAGAGCTCCTGTGGGTGCGTTGGCTCTGAGGTTCTGTTAGTTGCCCCAAATGACCACTTGGGGGAGCTACGATCCAATAGGTCTCCTGAAGCCACTCTGCAGAATCCTTTCTCATTTGCCATCAATTTATTTTCATTCAAACAAAGGGTGACCATGTGAAGAACATCACATCAGTTGACAGCCTGTAAATGTGATTTAAACATTTAAGCACCATTTACTCAGATTAAGTTTCAATTGAAGAACAAATGCTATTAGGTGGAAATCTTACAGTATGTGGTAAATGATGGAGGTTAAAATATTCCCTTTTATTGTTTGAATCTTATTGCTCATTTTTAAACAAAGGCACTGTGTTACTCTGGCGTATAGCCCCAACACCTAATACCTTTAACTAACCTTTAATGTACTTTTGTTAATCAGAAACTAAACACCTTCATACCCTGCTAATGTGCTCCTTCTGCTTTATGTGCTGTACCTATATAATGTTTTGCATTGATAGACTCTAGATAAACACAAACTGTGGATTCATTACGATTCAACTCCTGTCCACAAACACACACACAAAATGAGCATCGGTTCCTTCCCTAATCTTGTATTAATGGACCCAATCACAGACTCTATGAATAATCAATGGCCACTGGTCTGCAACCGCAGTGCCGAGACCTTGAGTGAAACTGAATTTTCCTAATAAGACACACACACACACACACACACACACTCACACACCTTGAGGCCCTAATAAGCACTAATGCACTGTGGGTTGAGAATACGTCACATGGTTTGTTTGCTGCAGAATGTGAAAGATAAACATGCTGTACAGCATGTGTGTATGTATGTACTGTATATGTGTTTGTGGAGAAGTAGGATAATGTGAAAACAGGGACATGTCCGTCCTTGCCCACTCTCTTCTGCCTCTCTTCTGCTGCTTTCCACAGATGACTCTGTGAGGAAACAACCGCTTTGGCTAATAGCTGCTACATTAGTCTCTTAACCAGCTGGTCATGGCCATTTAGAAATGTTCATTAGGTCGCGGACCAGAGTGGATAGGTGTGATAGTTCACTCCCCACTGTTGACTGTGGACAGACGGGAAAAAGAGACGGGGGGAGGCGGACAGACTGACAGACAGACAGATGGAGAGGAAGAGCGAAGCAATTTACTGGCCAAAATGACGACCAAGTGTTAAAAGCCGCAGATGCAATTATCGTCATATTGCCCTGAATAAGAACCTTGTGCATAATTAGATCTCATTAAGGTCTATGAGTGTTATTTTAGGGCTCTGAAAAGGTTGGATAAGCAGGACTTGATATTATGGGTTATTAATGCTGCAACATCTGGTGCCATTCTGGCAATAGTCTGACAGTCATGTGGATGGGCTGGAAAATTCAGCACTGAACTGATGTCATGACCATAAAGTCAAACACAATGTAGAATGCATTATTCCTATATGACTATAAGGATGGTGAGATAAATTGATACTGTATATAGATATGTGTTAATGTATGGCTTTATATATGGAGTACGCATGCAGGTGAATTTGTTTGTGCTCTT